AGACAACGCGAGTACGTTCAAGAGGGGTAACGAATTAGTGCAGTACTTATGCCAAAACCCGCTTCCATCGGATATAGACAATTTTCTTTCTAGCCAGGGCATTAAATGGGAATTCATCACCCCCCTCTCGCCCTGGAAAGGAGGCTTCTATGAGAGACTATAGGGTCGGTAAAAACCTGCTTGCGCAAATGCATTAGCAAGCGGTTCGTATCAGAGGAAGAATTCAGGACGGTCATTTTGGAGTGTGAAGCTATAATTAATAGCCGTCCTCTTACGTACGTAACGTCTAATATCCAAGATGACCCTCCACTGCGACCAGTAGATTTTCCTATTACCAAATGCCAACATCTTTCCATGGTCTTTCGAAGCAGGTTATGACCCCGAATATCGTCTGATCTCCACCCGGACTGACGCCTTACAGCTACTTGACGAAACGAAACGAACCCTTTCGAAATTTTGGGAGCAATGGTCTAAAACCTATTTAGTGAACCTTCGTAGTTTCCATGCGCAGCTCAGTAGCAAACGCTCAACACCACAAGCATCCTACTGTAGGTTCTGTTGTACTGATTGAAGAAGAAAGCAGTCCTCGCACACAGTGGAAAATGGGCGTAATACAACAACTGCATCCAAGCGGTGATGGAAAAAATTCGTACGGCCAGCGTACGTTGTTCGAACGGAAAAATTATAAAAAGGTCAATCAATATGCTGACTCCTCTTGAGCTGTCGACAGATGAGTCACATACACGGGCGGACATAGAGGAGAAACAACGGAACGACAACAACGCGCTCGCTCCGCAACCAACAGTACAGAGAAAACAGCCGGACCGTAAGGCTAAGAAACAAGTTACGTATGCAGAAACAGTCCACGTAGCACCTCAGAAAGAACTTCTGTCCACGCATACTATTATTTTCGTACAGATAGCTGTTTTGCTCGGACTTTGTCACAGCGTTTTCAGCACTGATTCCACAACTACGGAACTTTTACCACCTTCTGTAAAATGCATTCGAGGTGGTGTCCTTTTGGGAGAACTTGTACCCTTTTTCCACAGCTCAAATTTGCGCAGATGCACATTGCCTAGAAATGAAAGTGCTTCAGCGAGAAATCAGTGTAATGTTCCCAGCCGCAATATGCCTTCACATGCATGAAGTCCGTATCAAGATCAAGCGCGAACACAATATAGCATTACATACCATTACTTGTCCTCCTGCTCCCTTCTGTGAGATAAACTGCTACTTTTGCTCCGTCATGGTAACTAATCCAGACTGCTGGCCACGAACGGCCATAGCAGTCATCGCAACACTTCTCTATCTCACTGTCGCTACTAGTTTTTTAGCCGTCATCTTTTTTAAGCGAATCGTAAGAGGTTGTAGAAATTTATTTAGATCTATTTTCTGCATCTCCGATTCCAACTAGGTGACGACGGAGAACATATTCCTCTCGTAACTATCGGAACAAATTTCCGTCGACCGTTCAAGAAATCCCCCCTCGTACATACCCCCCTTTGTTCATGACTTCTCTTCGCACCGTCTGAGAGCTGTCATCAGACGTTCCCTATTTCGGCAGAGAGCATCCAATGTTTACAAAACAACGTCAATTGTTCTACCGTAACGAACCACGTAATTCAAATCAATCCTATCTCTCCGGAAGCTTGTATAACCATAACCGTCTGGAGGGCATCTTGTTGAGCAAATCAAACTTACTTTGAATCAAGTCATCCTCAAATGTAATGCTCAAACTCTTTTCTTTACTGGTAATACTTTGACAGACGTACAATCTCGTGAAACGCTGTCCTCTTTATGGGTTCTTGTGTTTGTACGGAAATGCTGCCAGTATCATGTAGTAATCTCATTGTTGCGAGGCAGCTTTTACTCAAGCGTTTCGTTGGGCTTGTTTTCTGAGTCCCTTCTGTGAACAGATTACCTGCACTTTTTGCACAGCAATGGTTACTAATCCAGAATGCTGGCCTCGAGTAGCCATTATATTGAGTGCAGCGGTCTTCTATATGGTTTTCATAACAGTGTGCCTCATGTTTCACATCGTTGAAAAATACTTCGCGGATTCAACACATTTGGACCGAAATCAGTTTACCGAAATTTCACCCTTGAAGAGAACTGTTTCAACAGCATCCGTCCACGGAATACGTCCAGTTAGTGGAAATCAGCAATAATAGCAGCAGAAAATGGAAAACATCAACCTTCGTTCGACTCCTGGCTGTTAGTGCCGTCTGCCGAACAGTGGGTGGATGTCAACAACTAATACTCGTCTCATCAACCGTCGCTCGGTGCACCTCAAGAGATCAAAGTTGTACCAGTTTCGCCACAGCAGTAGCCAAATTCAACACTACGCAAAGTCAATTCTGTCTACAAGTCAAATATTTATAAAGACTCTCTAGTCCATCTCATGCAGATTACAGTGGAAGAAATCAAGCTGTGGTGTCAAAAAGAGACGCTTTATTTTACTCAACGAACCGAAACACGCGTGCAATCCCGTAAAAGATGTCCGCACATGTGTCCTCTGTCGGACTCAAGTGTGCGGGCATTTCCACGGACACAGTAGTCCCGGAGCTCGATATAGCCAACAATTATACGGGAATAACCTATTGCACAGAGTCATGCGGGGATGGGGGTGCTCATGTGGCTTCCCCTCCTCGGGATGCCTGTTTTGCCGCATTTACCATGTCCCCGTAAACGGAGATGTCCCGAAGTTTTCCAGTGCTTATCATGGCATGAAACAATCAAACTCAAGATAGAGCAAATGGATCGTCAATACAATCAAAGGACTTTCAGTGGAGAAATCAAACCCTATACATACCGCACGCTCGGCGATATTAACATAGTTACCTAATTCGCCTTTTCCCATAACCCTCTTCTCTACAAGCGCTTCTTGTCAAATAACAGAGCAACGTGTACCTAGATGACGACGCACATTTAGTTATGCCTGTACGTCGAAACCACCAAATTCAAACACTTTAATCAACAGTTGCAACATACAGGACACCTGTAAATGCACTCCAGCAGAGCTCCCGAACGGGATCATAAAGGCCAACACCGAAAACGTAAAGGTAATTCACACCACCGCCTTTTCAGCTGAGCTGGCCATACGTACCCCTCCATCGGTACTACAAGTAGAACGGGAAGTAATGCAATATACATGTAACGTTGTAACAACCCTTACAGATTGTTACAGCTGTTACAAAGGCGCAGTCGCTCTAATCGACTGCCACAGCGGTGGTATCAAAATCGAATCAAGCTTTTTTCCAACCAGGCGCGGATCCGCGGACAGTGCCGCGTCCAGTGCTGTTCGTCATAATCGTGGAACTACATGGAATTATCTCAATTATATCAACGGCATAAGACCATTCCGGAGATACACTAAACTATAGAACCATACGTTTCACAAGACAGCTGCTTTCAATTCGATTGGGATTGCCAGATATTGCACACTTCCTGGACGTCTGTAAAACGTTTTGCCTCTACGCCGTTATCATCAGTCTCCCAGCCTTCGTCATTATCAGCGCCGCATATATCTGCGCAAGCAAAACATCAAAAGGAATGGCAGCTTTGACGCCTTCAACATTCACTCTTCCTGCCTTGACAGCATTCACACCATTCCTTTTTCGAATTTCTCTTCAAGTTATCCGAGCTGTGTGCTTGCTTCCTACCTTCTTATGCGCTGCATTTTGCGTTGCTTTCTCCAGTGACCACGTCATAAGACTTTCAAAACTTATTCCGCACATGATGACAATTTTTCAACAGGCCGTTCAGCCTTAGATCCCTCTTAGTCGAGCGATCTCTCCAACCTTTCATCGCCACCCGTGTATTTTTTCGTCAGCTCACCACACTGAATTTTTCACTTTCACACCATGGCAGACCCCGCCAATGCAAGATATGGAAAATGACGACGGAGAGGTTCTCGTGGAACCGGAACCACTCACGGTAACGACGACGATCAATCTTAAGATCAAGACGACCAGATCCACCAGTCAATCGTCAAGCGACGGACGCACGTCACCAGCATATATATGAGTATCCTATGACAGCCCAAAGAGGTATTACCTCATACATATATGACCAATAATAAAACGCTCTCACCCCATTATAGCTACAAATTTTATCTTCTCCAAACTTTCAGAACTCACTTGCATTTGCTTAACTTCGAGAAAAATTTTCATTGCACGTCTTCCCTGACTTTCGATTTCACTTCCGAAACCAAGGGCAATTTTTTTTCTGAGGATTTTGACATCTTTAAAGGGCGGTTTATAAGATACTACCGCGTCCGAGAGAAAAATTCGAAGGGGAACAGCCCGACCATCAAAGCCATCAAATCTTGCTCGGCGCAGAAAGGTATTACCTCATACATATACGACAATAATAAAACACTCTCACAACATTATAGCTACAAATTTTCAACAAGCCCCTTTTGGGGAGTCCTTCGTAAGGCCGAGAAGAACACCGTCTTGAAGGATGTGCTCGAGTACCCAGTCACCGGCCTCAAGCAGATATTCGACATGAATAAGGCAACTGCTACAGGAGATTCGCGACCAAACGAACGGGCTTCACGAGCTCTCTGCACAGCCGCCTCGACTAAAGTCCCCTCCTCCGGGGCCGAGTCACGCAGATAGGTCGTATAGTCTTAAAAGCACATTTTGTGATGCGGACTATCACGCAAATGATTGCTCGCACTACACCACTCTTACCGAGCGGAGACGCGTGATTTTCGCTCGACATAAATGCGAACGGTGTCAGTTGCGGGCGAACTATATGGCCACATCGTGTATCTTCATAGTACTTGCTTCTACTGCAAGATTTTCTTAGGTCAAGCCACGCAGCACAATAGCGCGTTTTATAATAATAACCTATAACTTCCCTCTTTGATTGTTCTAACTATTCACCGGTTTTCCTTCTCCTTCCGAGTTCAAGTATGAGTTTCAGTTTCTGAAGCATTCTCAAATGAACTCAATTTATTAACTTCAACTTTTCACTCACTACTCAAAAGTTCGACATCAAATTCACTTCCCTACTTTGTTCAATATCAAGTTTTCAACATCGTTTTGTTTCATTTACATCTTCAAATGCATATTGTGCCGCGTTCAACTTCAAGTGTTTCTTTGTTTTCAATACTTCAAGTTACGTCTTTCTCAAAACTCTTCAATTTTCACCTCAATACTCTTCAGCCTTGCCGTTCATGTTCATTTTTTTCAAAACTCTCTCGCATCTATTTCTGTGATCGGTCGATTGTAGATCTACTGCCTTGTTGGGTATGCGAAGTATTCTACCTTGTGCGATGCAAATAAGTAGTTGGGAACACACAGTCCACAATTCAAAAAAAGCCAAGAAAACAGCGTGATGAAAAATGAAACTCGTACAGTTGAGAGTAACAACTCACCAATACAGCCACGCCGTTTATTTACTGACTCATCTCAGAACTACAACGATGACGGCTCTTCGGCGGTGAATTTCCCCTTTATTAGTTACTACTGCATTTGTGTTTCGTACATGTGCACGTTTGTTTATGCAATCGTGAATTTATTTATATATTTGATTTATAGCTATTTGATTTATTTATATAGCTAAAACAAAAAGAAGCTAAAAAACAAAAAAAACATTTTTTTCAGTGTGGCATATCATAACATGAAATATGCCCAACACAAGCTTTTTTGGCCCTATCACTTGTTCTCGCAGGAAGGAAGCTGATACTCTGTTTCTGGGCGTGTCATAAGCAAGGATAAACGGAGGTGGGGAACGTCCACATGATCGATCAGCGTCGTACGTCCTTCGTACGAGGGAGAGGTTAGCCAGTCAAGGTTGGTTCCGATCGAGGATCCCACCTAAGGATCGGGGAAGGTCGAGCCCGACCGCTCGAAAACCCCGCCTAGGTTGATAGAAAGGAATTCAAATAGCCAAGGAATCAAAGCCTCACATCAAGGACTCAGAAGGGTCAAGCTGAGTCAAGAGATTCAAGTCAAAGTATGCCAAACTGGGTGGGTCAGATTTCGTAGTTCCAGCGTTAGCGCTCTTTTATTAAGATTAATTTGATTGTAAGTATGAAATAAATGTGTGATTTCTATATTGTTGTGTAAAATGTAAGAATCACCAAAGCTAATATCTGAGGATTGATGCCCTCAGAGCACAACGAAATATTGTTTTGTCAGAGAGAAATGTGCTCCACAATTGATGATTACAAAAGAGAAGAAAACGTGGACGCAGCGAGTAGATACAATGGTGGACCGAATCCTGGAGGGAGTTGGATGCGTTGATGTGCACCTTCATACATGGAGACCGTATTCAACACCAGATGGGATTTCTTCAGCAGTGCTATATCTCAATGACCGTATCTCAATGAGATACTGCAATAAAGGTTAATAGTGTCTCGAAGTCCCACCATTCCCCATACGGCTTCCGCAATTTTCCTCCTTTGTTGCTAACGAAGAGCCTAATAATGTGAAATTTAACCAAGCCACGAAGCTCGTTGATTCACTTCGTCAGAAAATATCCTGAAACCGAGATGCACCGATATTGGGCTCCTGCTGCTTGAAGTGAAGGCGTATTTAGACTGTACACCTTCCCTATCAGTCTTGGCTTCAGAACGGCGGCGGACACAAACTTCCGCTGGGAACGCTAGCCTCATTTGCGTGGGTCCCGCGTAGTTGCCAGAAATTCCCTCTCCGGTTCAATTTTTGGTCCCTGACCTGGATCCAAAATGCCTCGAGGGTTTTGCGTGCGGCAGTTTGAATTTCTTGCTCCAGGACCTTTACTGTGACTCCGAAGTCGACCCTGTAATGGGTGTTGATCCTATGTTAACTTACCAAGGAGGTCGTTCAGGAAGTGGAGCGCTTTTTGAAAACGGTTTTTTGCATGATGTGGGGGTCATTGCATGGAGTACCAAACTGGTGTTCATTTCCTGAACGCCTCTGGGAATACCAAAAAAGGAGTTCAGAAGAAGTCTACGGTAAGCGGTTGTTTTTGAGCCTATATGGGCTCAAACTATTTGCTTCGGCCAGATGCCGAGTGGGGTTCTTTATAAAGGCACTGTTGGAATCGAGGAGAAAATAGTCGCAAATGGATTATTATTTGTGGGACGTGAGTGAGAGTGAACGGCTCCTTGGAATGGTTTCTTCAACGATCATGCACAAAACCAATTCCCAAAAAGCGCTCCACGTCCTGAACGGCCTCCACGGTTAGTGCAGTTGATACCCGTGACCTAGTCCGTTTTGCCGTCAAGGTGTTCTTTGATCACGAAGACTTGTGATGTGGAAACTTTCTATACCAGCGCCAGCAATTCATCTGCTATGGATGCCGTTTGCGAGCTTCTTACGCAACACCGTGGTGTGATTGATGTGGGTGGGCTTCCCATAGGCCAGATAATGATGCTGTTAAAAGAATGGTCAAGATAGAAAAGCCAGTATTGGAATAACTCCCTTTGCTTTATTGCCGATACACCGACGATTGCTTCATAATCTGCTCCTCCCAGGGTGAAATTGACAAGTGTTTTGCACTGATGAATGTGTGAATGAGCAGTCCATGAATGTGTGAATGAGCAGTCCTAACATATCGAATTAACGCGCAAAAGCGACGACTGGCTTCCGTTTAACGTCTAGGTCAGGTCTGAGAGGAGCGCTTACCTAAGGCAGCGTTCAGACTTGTCGCGCTGCGCAGCGCTGCAGTCATCGCGGTGTAACGGCCGCTCTGCAACTGTCCCACCCGTTTATGTTCTTTCTTCCGGTATTCAATTCCTTTTTCACTGTTTCTC